TCTGATGTTGCGCTAGATTTACAACAACGTCATGAGTAGAAATATCTATTTTCATCAAATAGCATGTGTTTTGAAATCCTTGATACATCAATTAAAATGAAATCTATGGGACTTTGTTTCTCAAAAGAAATATTTTGATATACAAAAGATATAAATAGAACCATTTATTTTCACGAAAATGTCATTGTCTACGAACTTTTTGGGCAACCTTCGTTAGCGCTTCAGCGTTGCTGGTCTTGTGAAAGCACGGTTAAGTGGTAAACGAAATTAAAAATTATACAACTTGAACAATTGTTTAAAAAATAAATGCCAAGTGATAGAAAAGGGGTATTAATGAATGGGTATTGGTCTATTGGACTATACTATTTGAAATGTATAGGGATAGTACTTTTGAAAAATTCTTGACGCTATGTTTTTGATGTTACATTGCTGTTTGGAGTGTTCCGTGGTTACAAAACATGTTGATTTTAAAATGAAGGAAACTGATTTCCATTATGTCGATTTAATAAAACTTTACACATCAAAAAAGCAAATATATTTACACATGATACTGAGCTTATTTTAAATTTCGTTGAAAGTAGAATAACGACGAATGACATTAAATTATTATAATTATACTGTAAAACTGTATATTATCGAGGGTGGATGAAGAAAAGTTGAGCAGTATAAGTAAAAAAAATATATTTTGTGGTGGACTTTAATTCGTGGGTCTCTTCATACATTGAAAACAACGAAAATCAACACCATGAAAATTAGTGATTTCACAATCTACGAGATTAAATGTTTCTTGAATTCTAATTTATTCTGCTTTCATCATTTTTGTGACCTGATGTTTAAAGGCTTTAACCATATCTTATGTTAATTCAAATTTTGCACTGCTATGTTGCAGCGCATGTCGTTTGTGTAGCTACCAATTCATATGAGTGAAAAATTATCGAGAGGGACGTTAAATGATATACAATCAATCAATCTTTGCTAGAGATACTAATTGCAATGATAATGATTCATCTTAATTATCTGTATCCCAGAGTCTACAGTCTTGCCACATATGTCAAAACATATATGCTTGTTTTTATTAAATTTGTACTGATATGTAATTTAAATGTTTTCATCATTAATTCATTTTTATTTAAATATTAAAAATTACATATAAAAAAAGAAAACATGCATAGATGGATACTACCTTTCAAGTATCATCGTTAATTCCTTGACAAAATTGTCCAGTATTTTTCCGTGAAGTGCTGAAGAGTAACGCTATAGTCTACATGTCAATTAAAATACTTTTTTATGCAAAAAAGAGACGTCTTTAAAAAGACAATTGGACTAGTCAAAAAGCATAACACTCTTTTTAATGTATTTACACCGCTGATCAAATTTCACAGAGTGCTCCTTATAAAACACATACAAAATTCAGTTTTTAACTTGACCTCAAATATATAAAATAAAAAGATACAGAGAAAATATGTAGTGAAGTTGGATTTGAAGAATGGCTATCATTAAGTATTTACATACCCATATGTTAAGACATTGAATAAAATACTTGCATTTAAAGTGTTTATTTTACATACTCATCTATGGATTTAATCTTTCTCTAAATAATAATTTGTTCAATTGAGGGAATCCTTCGAAAAAAATTGAAATCCTTTAAAATTTCAAATTGTCTTATAATATAGAAAAAGGAACGTTACAAAATTTAAAAAATCAATTAAACATTTTTAAAAAATTTTATACTTTAAAAATGTCTTTCTAATTAAAAAAAAATAGAGTAGGGTTAACATTATGCATAAAAGACCCTCTCTTTATCCCATGTAATGGACTTAATCGTTCTCTTTGATCGATATCAAATATCAATATAAAATATAGTTTTTTTTTGCTAAACTTTCCTCTAATTAAGAAGCATTCTTTCATTATATACCTGCTTATTTTGGAAGAAACACTTGTTGTGGCCTTTAACTCGACATTTAGATTTATATATAATATCATTTTATTACTAAAAATACTTCCAGTTATTTGACAATTCTATATTTTCCAATAACTTGAACTTTTATTAATTTTTTAAAGATCTTTCGACACAGAACAAAAAATGTGAATTAACATACATTAAATTTGGGTAGAATTACAATGATTACATCCAATTCTAACTGAATTTCCATACAATTTCTAAATTTCCTAGATTTCGATTAATATATTAACACACCGTCGAATGTATGTAGAAAGAGAATTGAGTACAAATAGATTGAGATAAGATAGGTGTTGAATATCCTCACTGGGGCACTGTATGTATACAATAACGGACAGTTGATTGCATTTATTATGGTTTGATTCTTGCTGTAAGTTTGTAACTTTGGATTTTTATATTTTATTGTAAATTATAAATTGATGTTAAGTTTAAAACTGTGTGATTGATTTTTGCATTTTGGGTTTTTATGACCGATTATATAATATTTAAAGTTTGGAATACAGTATCAAATTTTGCCACATCATGGTGAAATTCAATCATGTAACTCGAAGAAAAAAAGGTTCGAGCTGAGAGGTAGATTAACCTGATTAAAACAATTCAATACACACAAAAAGACTTGTCACTAAAACTTCCTGGTTCTCCACAATGGATTATGATTGAAAGTTTGAAAGGGAAATGATGGTCGGGGTAATCGTAAAAAATGTTCTTTAAAAGATAGGCATAATAACTGTAAGGAACAGGGTATTCACCTATTTAAATATACAGGTATGAACAAAATTAACAATACGAGGGCTGTTCAATAAAGAATATCCTCGGTGCTCGGAAAGAATCAAAAAACGCTTTTCAATGATTTTGTCTAAATGATTTCATTTACATATTCTCTTTTAAATAAGATGCATGTTCGTAACATTTTTATCCAATTTCTGATTGTTTTTAGTATAGATTTTTGAGTACAACCCTTCGTATACTGGAATATGGCACGATCCTATGATTTTCTGGACTTGTTTTTTCTTTCTGAAAGGTGTTTTTCAAGTTTGGAAAATAAAACAAGTCAAAGGGTGAAATGTCTGGCGAATATTGTTGGTGTGACAAAACATTAACTTTTTGTTTATCCCCAAAACTCCTTTACTCTTCATGGCGTGTGGGTTTGGACGCTGTCATGAAAAAAAAATAATGTAGTGGATTCCTGACTCTGGCTCCATCTTCTCATAAACTTTTTTTAATTTTTTTTTTTTAATTATTTTTTTTTTTTTTTTTTTTTTTTTTTTATTTTTTTTTTTTTTTTTTTTTTTTTTTTTTTTTTTTTTGCAAAAAAAAATTTGCTTTCTAGACTTCTCCAGAAATTGAACTCCCTCCCCGAATAAGAATTTGAACAAGACCACTAATATTTGAGAAAATAAGGCATATAATCTGCTTTTGTGCTTTTGCAATTCTTTGTTCTTCTAAGATCTTGGCCTTTTTTTCATGTGCATCCTATTGTAAATTTGTTTTGAGGGTTTAAAGCAATGGATTCAATTTTCATTATCTGTTTGAATTTCAGACAAACGTCGATAACTACAATATTTTATTTTTTTTAAATAATTGATTAGATATTCTTACACGCTGTCGTTTTCACTCATTTTTCAAAACATACGGTGACGATTGAGTACTGAGCATTTTTACTTTCAAACATTTCTTTAAGACAGTGTAAACTTCCCCCAAAATGATACCTATCAATTTAGTTATGTGTCTCAAAGTCAACCAAACATCATCAGTGATAATTTGCTGAATTTTGGCAAACAGTACATTGGTTGTTGTAAGTCCTTGTTGCCAAGGACGGTACCCATCTTTGATGCCCATTTTATCACTTTTGTTCATTGAAATCTACATGCTCATGTGTCTATAAAAGACACATTGAATACTGTAAATTCTCAGACCTTGTTTTCCATCTCCTCACAATGAAACTATGTGATGAAAAGTGGTCACATAAACTGTAATCAATTTATTAAAGATTTAATCATGAGAGAAAGTCAAGCTTAATGTCATATGATTTCTATGTTGTATGTCATAGAGCTCAGGATATTATTTATAAAACAGCCCTCGTGTACACATCCTGCAGTATAACAATGATATGAACTTAACGTTAGCTAAAAATGTGTTAAACATGATGTACGCTTTTTTCAATTATTTCTTGCAGAAATGATACACAAATAATAATAATAATAAAAAAAAATAAAAATGCATGAATGAAATGTAGAATTTTTCACATCCAGTCTGTAAGTTAACTTCATGAAATATATGGAGATAAAACATATTGAATAAAATATTTTGAGATAACGAATAGTATTCACGCTCAAAGGTCCATAAAACAATACCAAATAGGAGAAGAGTAAAAATAGACCAAAACAACAGAGGTTGGATCAGGTACCATGGCGGAGTGAGCATTCCCTGCCGACCGGTCACACCCGCCGTGTGCTCCTTGTCGTGATCGGGAAATAACGGAAAAATCCATCGTCAATTCAGTGTGTATGAAAACCGTCAGTCAGCATTTGACTCAAATAATGTCATTCGATACATTATATAATGTACTTGGTTGTTTTAAGATTCAGTAGTGATTCTTCCCTTAGTCAATCATGCAACATTATTTAAGAATTATAATAAAATTAAAATGTATTTAATTATAGTATTCTTCTCATTGTTTAAATATTACCAAAGCAAATTTACGTTCTCTTATTCCTTTTACATTTTTCTTCTATGTGTTCACAAAACTGTATTTATATACAGAGTTTGTTTGGATGAAAATTCATCTGTATGTTACTTTTTTAATTTCGCATTTGTTTATCGTGACACCTTTTACATCTGTATCACATTTCATTCCCATTTTCCAATTTGTAGACAAGGTTTCTTCGAAAAAAATAAATACTAGTAAAATCAGAACGAAAACATCACATCCCCATCATTTTGCTGGAAATCCATCTTTTTAATCTTTTAATTAGAAAAAGAACATTCTATTTAACTGAGTCAAATACTTTCTTCAAGTTTAAGAAGAGTAATGTACTAACTAAACAAGGTCAAAGTAATTAATAAATGTTTTATGTAGACGTAACTCGAACAGTGGTTATTTCCTTTATCATCAAAACTTCAGCAACAAAACAAAAAACCATTGCAAGGACGCAGAATGCATAAGCAAAATGCAACCTGGCACCTGGAACATAAAACTGGATTTGATCCAAGTGTGCAGCATATGCGGATACTCCAGCAAGAAGGAGCAGGACTGAAATAAAAGTCATATTATATTTCAAAGTGGAAACAGGTTCCCAAGTTAGTTATTCGATAAAATATTCTGATTCAAAACGAATGAGTAAATCGAAAATAAAAATAAATTTAAATATTATATATAAAACAGAAAGCCAAATCTAAAGAAGATAAATCTTTGTATACCTGTAAAGCCATTGAGATATATGCTAGCTTTCAAATAACCATTTTTTCCTGTGGTAGATTTTGAGTCCGAGAGTGATGATGGCAGTTATTAATAAAACCAATGCCAAAGTTGCCCCCGCTTGTAAACCTCGGAGCAAGCCTTTAAAATAATAGTGCATAAAGTTTTTTTTTTTTGGATGTGTTTGATTTTTTTCTATAGAAGAAACTGTTACATTAAAAGTGCATACATGTCATTAAAGATGGTAATATCAAAAGCGCTATACAGTGTACAGCGTTTTTGAAATAACCATCTATAATTATTGTATTAACAATCGTACTTAGTACTTATATTCATAATCGATGTGTTTTTCATTTTCATTTGTTTTAAAATGTGTTAGGAATGATCGTATTGAATATAGCGAGATGCGCTTTTTAAAATAAATCGTTTCCGACATGTAGTTAGACGCGTGTTCAACGGTATACCAACCTGAATGCAAAACGCAGCGTCGAAGTTTAACAATAGACTACAATGGTCTTAATTACTTATTATTATATACTAATCAATTTTGGATAACAAATTGTTTTCGATTGGTGAGTATTTTATATATTTACCTTTCTGAAGTTCTGTCAGTGGCCGATAATCAGGTAAATATATACATAAGATTTGAGTTTTCCCATTGAAAGTTTCACAGGAAATCCATATCCCTATGTTGACGTTTTCTTCTCGACCAAAGAAATCTTTAATTCTTCCATAAGCCCAGTAAGGCGACGCAAATCCGATGGCATAAAATACCAGTGCAATCAACAGGAGACAAAGGCTTGTCACTGTCAATTTTGTTTTGTCCTGTCGATTCCTGTAACAAAATTTCTCTGTTATATGTCATTCCAATGTTTAAAAACATAATTACAAAAGTTCGGCATATCTATTGTGGCTCGTATTGTTTGAATTGATTTTTTAGCTCGATTACTGTTTTTTATCTTTATGTTTCACATTTCATACTTCTGATAAAAAAATAACGCACTCCTTAAATATACGCTTTTTAATTGCGTTTCAGGAATGTAATTAAAATCTTTTAAAGCACTAAAATTACATATTCCTCCAAATTTTTATTATTTTTATCTGAGAATACATTTTTTTCCTTTGTTAAACCAATTTTTTTTAAATCAATATTATATAAAGTAAAAGTGAATTACTCTGAAACTAGAAGATTCTGAGTGGTTAGGAGGAATTCAGAAAAAATAGAAATCTTCTTAACACTCATACAATTTAATAAACATAAAAAAATGTTTCAAAAAAATTATTTTCATTTTTTCCCAAGTTAAAAAAAATTAGAGTAACGCAGCCTATCAGCATTTAAAGACGTGGTGACCAAAGTAAATCTTCAAAAATGAAAATGAAAACGAATTATTCTACATTACCTTTCAGTTTCCATTGATCATAAATATTATAATGATTCTTTGAGAGTCTGAAAAAAATCCTTATTCTTTCAAGCCAATGGTAAGTGTGAGAGTGACAAAAAATTTATTTGTGCATTGTAAGATTACTCTCGTCAAAGATAATAATTCAATGAAAACAACGAGATGCCTGTAAACAAAGAAAAATTGATAACTGTCCAACAAAGCATTCGTGCACAAAATTTGCATTGTCTGAAGAAGGCCGATTTAACTACAAGTCTTTTTTTCATTAATATATAGCTTGTACATTTGGATTTAAATGCAGATCATTTATTTCCAAAAAAAAAAAATCAAAATTAGCAAAAATAATCTAGATGCAATATTGTGTACAGTGTATGTTAATACCTTGTATAAAGCGATTGAGGACAATATGAAAGCCATCTATTCTTCTTCATATTAAGAACTGAAAAAAGAATGGATTGATTGTATATTGTTTAACGTCCCTCTCGAGAATTTTTTACTCATATGGAGACGCCACAACTTGCCGAGAGCTGCAAATTTTGTCCTATGCTCGGCACTTAGGGCCATTGAGCAGGGAGGGGAGCAGGGAGGGATCTTTTTCGTGCCAGCACCTACTGCGACACGGGACATCGGTTTATACGGTCTCATCCGAAGGACCGGTCTCCACGTCCGACAGTGGGATTTGGACCCGCGACGTAATGATCAACTCCTTACCTCGCGTCTCTAGAGCAGACGCTCTAACCACTGCGCCGCGCGGGCGACAAAAAGAAAAAGAATTTGAAAGATTATACGATAGGCTGACAAAGCAGCTAACAGCATTGTCTTTTCTGAGGCTTATAGTTATCATTTTAATTGTATTTTAAAGGAACTGCATGGAATTTATTTCTACAAGTAATAATCCTTTGATTGATTGATTAATTGTATGTTTTACGTCCCATTCGAAAATTTTCCACCCATATAGAGACGCCACGGTATACCGGTGAAGGGCTTCAAATTTTGACCTTTGCAATGGCAGTTTGCTGCTTAATTGGTGTCGGATAGGGGCCCACAGCCACACACACACACACACACACAAATGATTAAGCCGTGATGGATCTTTATCTTGCCAACGCCTGCAGCGACATAGGGTCTCGGTTTTTAAGGTCTCAACCGAAGGGACCGAACTTTCACTTCAAAGAACCGAAGGCATGGCGAAGAAACAGTTTCTTCCTATTATGTATCGACTTAGGTCAGTCGCAACCTTCCGATAACGGAGCAAGCACTCTACCAAATAATCTATCTTGAATGTAAAAATGGTAATCCAACTTATACCCATAGCTTCCTTCTAAAAGGGTCGCCCGCGTGGCGCAGTGGTTAAAGCGTCTGCTCTAGAATCACGAAGTCAGGAATTGATCCTTACGTCGCGGGTTAGAATCCCATTGTGGGACGTGGAGACAGATTCTTCGGATGAGACTATATAAACCGAAATCCTGTGTCGCAGTAGGTGCTGGCACGAAAAAGATCCTTCACTGATCAATGGCCCTACGTGTCGTAAACGGACATAATTTGTAGCTCTTCACCGGCAAGTGGTGACGTCCCCATATGAGTGAAAAATTCTCAAAAGGGACGTTTAATAATATACAGTCAATCAATCAATCCTTTTAAAGGAGATGTTTTCTAAATCATGTGTCAGTTTTGAATGTGTTTTATGTCCCCCAAAACCAAAATGCAATTGAAAAACCATATCTATATTGGCTTCCAAAACTTCATAAAATCCTTAAAAACAAATATGCATAGCGGGTTCTAGTAAATGTTTTTCCAAGCCTCTTTCTTTACTCCTCACTAAAATATTTACAATAGTGAAAGGAGAAATTCAGAGCAACAATATACCTGGTATTGATCCCACCTCTGATGTTTTTGAGGTCCGTTTTTGCTCTGCTCCTATTTTGTAATGTTTTATTAACTTTTGGGCTTGGATATTTTTCGATATCTCCATATATTTCATGAATACTAAAACTTCCAAGGAATTTATAAAAAAAAAATTGAATTCACAAAATCTTACCAAAATCAACAACATAAAAACGTACGATTTTCAGCTTTATAAACAACTATTCCCCCAATATAGATTAAATTCCAAACTTTTTTTACTTCATTGACAAACTCCTTTTTCAATAAAAATTGAACTTGTAAATGTATTTCTATTTACCTTGTCATTGATTTACCTTGTCATTGGTCACTTTTTGTTACATTCTGATTGTAAAAACAAGTACGATGAAGCTGATATTGAAAAGAAAATTGAGTTTCTGATTGACAATATTTATGTTGATTTTGGCGACCAGGTCTTCCAAAAATCTATTGGAATTCCCATGCGTACTTAAATAATTGCGTCCTGTGTGCGCTGTTTCTCTATCTATTTCTCAATATTTTTTACAACTGTCATCTCAAAATATGACTAACCGTGTGTTCCTACCATATTCTTTCACTGTTTCCACAACAAAACATCCTTGTAATTGTTATTTATAATTGTTATTTATAATAGTCCTCCTGGTCCTGAAATAGAGATCATCGAAAATTTCGTCTATTTATACTGCCAGTTTGATTTGCAAGATAATACGATCCAACGCGCTTCGTGCAGATGTCCACTACGAGAACACTTGATAGAGGAGTGAGGATTGTTTTTTAAATCTAGCTTTTATCACAATTGCGGTAAGAATTTGGAAAAATTAATCCAGAACCAAGCACAACTACTAGTATCTTTTCATGTGCAAATATAGTTTTTTCAACGGGGGCACTGTAGCTCTCTGGTCTGTCAAAATATTTTTTTCGGAGAGCTGCAAGTTCTACAGCTATAACTTTTCAATCGTCAACTTTCCTTTACTTCTGCAGCAATATACCTTCATAACCTGCATACAGGATTATATCTCTCTATTGATTCGATATGCAAGAGCATGCTCTAAATATCAATTTCTAAAACAATGTAAGTTATTGACAAACAAGTTGATGAAACAAGCACATTTACAGTCTCGTTTAAAGTCATCAATTCGGAAGAGATGCACCTCAAATTTAGTTGTTTTTTTTTAAATGAAATGATCCTTTCTTTCTCTAAATTTCTTTTAAACTTCAATCACTTAGGCGAAAGTTCCCTCAAGCCTTATACCTTCAAAAGAAAATAGAAGTTCGACATCGTGATCACACGCTCTAAATTTATATGTTCATGTATGTATTTCCATATTATTCCATATTAATCAAAGAATAATTTTTCGATTATCATAATTGTTTCTGCCACAAAGCAGACTGTCATAGCAATGACACATAATGCAAAGGAAAAATGCAAACTGGCCCCAGGCACTTCCTATTGAATCTGGTACAAATTCTAAGCAAAAAGAGATGTAACAACAAGGAAAAACAAACCTGAAAAGAATTTTTGTCAGAATGAATTTTGAATACTTGTGCTCATCGACACAATAATAAGTCGGATGTTTATAATGCGCTTGTTACGCTTGTATACACAAAGATATACTCGTAACTAACTGAAAATTTATGATCTATTTTTTTAATGTATTTACATAAAAAATACTTCCTTTAACACGTTTAAAGAAATTATCTGTTTCGACAATATATGTCCCTTTCTAGTTTGTAGATCTGATATATTTCAAAATTGTATTTTAACTATTTTTCAAAGCAAAATTAACCACAAAAGCCTCCTACTTTTTACATACCTGTTATCCCATTAAATATCATACTGACTGTCAACAAAATAGAAGAACATTCTAAGCCCAAGGATGAATGCAGCGAGTATCAGAAAAAGAATTATGAGGAACATTAATACGTACAAAGACCACAGCAAATCTGAAAAATTAACCAACTGTAGCAAAGATGCAATACATATTTCATTTAAAATTTTTCGTATTTTTTTTTTTCGCAAATGCATAATTTGTATAAAGGATAACAATATAGAAAAATGTATTAGATGTACAAGCATATTAATTCCCATAAGCAAATAAAGACGTCTATTTGAAACAAATTTAAGCAGATACTATAAAGTTAATTTCTTATGTGTGGTAAATTGGGAATTTTGACTTGTTGTAAATTACCTTTTTGCTCCTTTGTCAATAATGGATAGTCAAGTACCCTTGTACATTTGGTTGAAGATCCTTCTTCATAATAATTTTCACAGTAATTCCAAAGCCCGATTCTGACTGTTTTTGTTCTGTAATTGGTCTCCAGTATTTCATTATCAGCTGAGGTCTCTGTTGTTATAACAATAGCTGTTGTCTTTATTGATGTATAATTAGCTGTCATGTTAGTTTCGGCTGTTGTAACATTAGGTGGCGCTTCGTTTATACTTCCAATGACCCAGTACGGTATCAAAAAAGCAACGGTGTGTAGCGTAACGGATAACCACATCAAAACAAAACTTCTCAATAACCATTTTGAGAAATTATCCAAAGGTCTGCAAGGAAAAATAACAATTTTAAAAAAGTGTGCTGTAAAATCACAGATTTCTGTGGGGTCGATTCTTCGTTGTTTATGGGAGTACAAAT